ACCATCTGCTGTTTAAAAACTAGCCTAGAGCACCATCTGCTGTTTAAAAACTAGCCTAGAGCACCATCTGCTGTTTAAAAACTAGCCTAGAGCACCATCTGCTGTTTACCATCTGCTGTTTAAAAACTAGCCTAGAGCACCATCTGCTGTTTAAAAACAAGTCTAGAGCACCATCTGCTGTTTAAAAACTAGCCTAGAGCACCATCTGCTGTTTAAAAACTAGCCTAGAGCACCATCTGCTGTTTAAAAACTAGCCTAGAGCACCATCTGCTGTTTAAAACTAGCCTAGAGCATCATCTGCTGTTAAAAAATAGTCTTGAGCGCCGTCTGCTGTTTAAAAACTAGCCTAGAGAACTATCTTCTGTTTAAAAACTAATCTGGAGCGCCATCTGCTGTTAATAACTAGTTTGGAGCGCCATCCGCTGTTTAAAAGCGACACTAGAACTCTATTTGTTGTTAATAAGTGACCAAGAGCTCAATCTACTGAAACAAGGCAGTAATGAGAAAGTCATGATTGAACAGCATGATATTTTCACTTTTGGGGTGAACTATCCTTTTAAACAATGTGTATATCAGGGCCAACCCATATCCACATCAACATTTTAATAGAATAGTAAGATAAAATATAAATAATAACATCTCCCAGATCCCATATCGTTGTTGCTGCATGAATCTTGAATACCCAGGATAGAGCTCAAGTGCAAGAGTTTCCTAATCTGAAAACAAAATCATCCCTCATTGGGTTGTGCCAATCCATCATGGCTGTCAGTGCAGTGGTGTTAGACTCCATATCTGGCCTGAATGAGGCTCCGCAAACCACTAAACTCCATGATCCAGGATCTCCGTGATCTGGACACTCCACTGGAATCTGTTTGGCCTCGAGATGGGCTGTAATTGGCCAAGAACGAGAGCGGCGCCTCAGATCATTTTCTTTACATATATCCAGCAATCATCACTATAGTCCAGTCCAGGAGCTAAGTTCACAAATCCTATTCAAGCAGAAATGTAGGACCTGCTCTGTGAAGACCCAAACCTCTGTTAGTGCTGCTCTGAAATGGGACGGTGTGATTTTTATGAGTCTCGCTCTTGGTTCCTCAGTTTTCCTTCCTGATCAAACACAGGTGTTTCAGGAGACGTTTTAATATTCACTGAGTCGGCAGTCAGTGCCTGTTTCTTCATCAAGCCCGGTTTGGACCTGCAGAGTTTTGTTTGGATTTGTTTGTGTCTCAGACAGAGCGAGGAACAGAAATGGTGACATGTTGTTAAATATGGTAATGAAAGCCAGCAGATGCAGATAGGGCAGTAAGTGTGTCTGTTTTGGCTGTTTGAGAGTTTACTCGGTGGAATTCAAGAACAACGCTGTCTGACAAACTTCACCTAATGATTCTATATACAGTTAAAGTCAGAGTAAGTCAGAGAAGAAGTCCTTGCCATGATGACAGTACATAATAATTGACTAGATATTCTTTAAGATACTAGTATTCAGCTTAAAGTGAAATTTAAAGGCTTAACTAAGCAAGTTAGGGTAATTAGGCAAGTCATTGTTTGCTCTGTAGACAATCGAAAACTAATATTGCTTAAGGGGGCTAATAATATTGACCTTAAAATGGTCTTTTTAAAAATTAAAAACTGCTTTTATTCTGGACGAAATAAAACAAATAAGACTTTCTCCAGAAGAAAAAATATTATAGGAAATTCTGTGAAAACATTCCTGAATCTGTTAAACATCATTTGGGAAATATTTGAAAAAGAAAAAACAATTCACAGGAGGACGAATAATTTTGCCTTCAACTGTATACAGTGCTCAGAATACACGAGTTCGGCCCTCACAGATCTCTTTTAAATGTATATTTTCTACAGGATGCTTTACTGTAGTACATTTGTGCATATACATTAGTTTAGTCAGGAACGAAGCCAAAAAACTGAACTCATTTAACAAAAAAAAAACTAAACAAAACTGAAGATCATAGTTCAAAAATGTGTACAACCAAATTAATATGCTAATGAACAAATATTAAATACAATGTTAATGAATAGGAGAAATCTAGATATAGATTTTAATAGAGAAGCTTTAAAAAAATCTAATTTAGTTGAGATTTCAATTTTCAGACTGGTATTTTAATGGATATAACTGTTTAATAAAACTGTTTTGATTAAATGCACCAAAAGTTATTGTCTATATTCACTGAGGAATGAATACTAATATTCATTTTTAAAAAGGTAGTGACCACTTTCCATTTAAGCTAAGCACTGTATATACAGTAAACAAACTATATATAAAACACACATATATTTATTCATTCATTTTCTTTCAGCTATACACACACACACACACACACACACACACACACACACACACACACACACACACACACACACACACACACACACACACACACACACACACATACACACACACACACACACACACACACACACACACACACACATACACACACACACACACACACACACACACACACACACACACACACACACACGTACACACACGTACACACACATACAGTTGAAATTAAAATTATTATTTTTAGCCCCCCTTTGATTTTTTTTTTTCTTTTTAAAATATTTACAAAGTGATGTTTAACAGAGCAAGGAAATTTTCACAGTATGTCTGATAATATTTTTTCTTCTGGAGAAAGTCTTAATTGTTTTATTTCGGTTATAATAAAACAAAGGACAAAATTATCAGCCCCTTTAAGCTATTTTTTTCGATAGTCTTTAGAACAAACCATCGTTATACAATAACTTGCCTGATTACCCAACCCTGCCTAGTTAACCTAATTAACCTAGTTAAGCCTTTAAATGTCACTTTAAGCTGTGTAGAAGTGTCTTGAGTGTCAAATATTATTTACTGTCATCATGGCAAAGATAAAATAAAGATAAAATAAATCGGTTATTAGAGATGAGTTATGATGTTTATAAATTTATTGAAAAAATCGTTCATCCATTAAACAGAAATTGGGGAAATATTTAACAGAAATATTTCTGTTAAACAGATGTACATATACACACACACACACACACACACACACACACACACACACACACACACACACACACACACACACACACACACACACACACACTCTGGCCAGGCTAATCTGCTGTTAATGTGCTTCAGCAAGTTCAGTTAAACTGCTTGAAGACTCTCCGCTCATGTTTGCTCCTGTGGGCTGCTGCTATCCTATTATAAATATGAATATTATTCTACTACAGCTGCAGCAGGTCCTGTTTTGCATTTGGCATGATGTATGTGGAATGTAATGAATTATTAATGAGGAATGCATGTTATCAGCTTTTTCTGTGTGTTGATGATTAAGATGTGCTTTGATCACTTGATGCTCACACAAGTGTTTGATCTTCATGCTGTTGCCAAGATACTGGCAGAGTTTTACATGTCTGACCATTTATCTGTGAGTTTATCTGGCAGACTTAATGTTAATGAGAGTAATCTATTCCCTGGCGTTGAGTAAATATTACATTGCCAATTAAATATAATTTCTTCCAAATTTCAAATTAAAACATCAATTGACAATGTCCGAATTACAAATGTTTACATTAAAACCATGGATATGTCCATCCATCCATTCACTTTCTGCTGCTTGTCCGGGGCTGGGTCGCGGGGGCAGCAGTCTTATGAGAGAACCCCAGACTTCCCTCTCCCTAGACACTTCCTTCAGCTCCCGAGGCGTTCCCTGGCCAGCCAAAAGACATAGTCCCTCTTGAACTCTTGGGGAAAGGACTTTCCTCCAACCTGAAGAAGGCAAACTACCTTTTTTCCTCCATGGCCTCAGACTTGGAGGTGCTGAATCTCATCCCAGCCGCATCACACTCAGCAGCAAACCGCCCCAGTGCATGCTAAACGTCCATTTTCGATAAAGCCAACAGAACAACATCGTCTGCGAATAACAGAGATGAAATCCTGTGATCCTCCAAATGGACCCCCTCCAGCCCAAGGTGAATTGAATGAACTAAATTGGCCGTAATTTATGATTGCGGCTGGAAGGGCATTCGCTGTGTAAAACATATGCTGAAATAGTTGGCGGTTCATTACACATGATAGTAAGGGACTTAGCTGTAGGAAAATGAATGAATGAATGAATGAATGGATAGATAAATGAATAATTGAATGAATGAATGAATGAATGAATGAATGAATGAATGAATGAATGAATGAATGAATGAATGAATAAATGAATGGATGGCTGGCTGGCTGGCTGGCTGGCTGGATGGATGGATGGATGGATGGATGACTGGATGGATGGATGGATGGATGGATGAATGGATGAATGAATGAATGAATGAATGGATGGATGGATGGATGAATGGATGGATAGATGAATGAATGGATGAATGAATGAATGAATGAATGAATGGATGAATGAATGAATAGATGGATGAATGAATGAATCAATGAATGAATTAATGGATGGATGAATGAATGAATGAATGAATGAATGAATGGATGGCTGGCTGGATGGATGGATGGAAGGATGGACGGATGGATGGATGAATGAATGAATGAATGAATGAATGAATGGATGGATGGATGACTGGATGGATGGATGGATGGATGAATGGATGAATGAATGAATGAATGAATGGATGGATGGATGGATGGATGGATAGATGAATGAATGAATGAATGAATGGATGAATGAATGGATGGATGAATGAATGAATCAATGAATGAATTAATGGATGGATGGATGAATGAATGAATAAATGGATGAATGAATGAATGAATGGATGAATGGATGGATGGATGGATGGATGGATGGATGGATGGATAATTAGATGGATGATCTATTTGTGTTGGCACAGCATGATGAATTGTGTGAAACCCAGCATTTTTTACAGTATATTTTTGCTGTAAGATTTACTGTGGATAAGACCCTTTCCCAAAATCAGAAGCAATTAGCATTCCTCATCTCTACATTCCTCATCTCTCACGTCTTCATGTTTTTGTTCCTCCTCAGTTCTCATCTTGAGAAGAGTCTGCAGATGCTGATGGACCGTGTGGATGATATGAGCCAAGACATCGTCAAATACAACAACTACAGCCGCAGCCTCAGCAAACAGCAGCAGCAGAAACACCAGGTGACCCTCACACAGATACACCTGGCTGTACACACACACACACACGCACTCCTGCACCGGCTCTGACTTCAAAAGTGCTGATTGATCATCTGTATTAGATTAGATTAGAATAGATCCAACTTTATTGTCATTACACATGTACAGCGAAATGCAGTTTAGGTCTAACCAGCAGTGCAATAGCAGCAAGTGCAGGATACAGGTATAAGTTATTACAGGTTGTATTAGCTATGAACATGAATATGTGCAAATTTTAAATGTGCAAATGTTAAACAGTGCAGTGATTGTGAGGAGTTTAAGTTGGAGGAGAGTGGGGGTGTATTAGGGGGGCAGTGAGGGGCAGAGTTCAAGAAGGAGACAGCTCTGGGGAAAAAGCTGTTCCTCAGGCCCCGTTTACACTAATGCGTTTTAGTTTGAAAACGCATAAGTTTTGCTACGGTTACGCCAACCGTCCACACTACGCCGGAGTTCTCGAGCGCCGAAAACGGAGCGTTTCGAAAACGCTGGAGAGGCCGTTTTCATTCTGAAACGCTGCTGCTCCGTCTCAGTGTGGATGATGGAAAACGGAGACATCTGAAAACGGAGGCGGGGCTGCAGACATTCGCTTCTCTGATTGGGGCTTTTCCTGAATATTAAGTAGCCTAACACACACAGTTCAGTCCTGCATTCTCTCCTTGTAAGTTCAGACTTCGCAAGTGTGATCAAGGCTGCAGTCTCTTCTTCTCAGTTTGATATGGAAAACAGACTATACCGAGGACACGCGTCAATCTTCAAAGGGAACAGTGTACTTTATAACTTCATTCACATCACCCTGGCTACGTTGCTTCACTTTCTCAACAATAAAATGTAAACATGATTTAAGGAACTGCCTATTTTTATTTTAATATTAACAACTTAGACAGCAGAAATGTTGAGGTGTCGTGCTGCAAATATTAGCGTCATCTTCACTGTGTGGATATTTATAACAAAACGGAGCTGATAACAACTGCCTCCTTTCAGTTTCAGTGAAAATACGAAACATACCCTCTCTTTTGCTGAATATCAGTTTTAATAATCGATAATGGCCATTACAAAAGTATAACATACAATAAGTTTATACATTATAGGAATTAAAGGCAAGCGATCAGTCAATATACAGAATGTACGTGCTTACATTAATCATTAACTTATCTTTGCGCTCAGCCAAAACACGTTACCTGAGAACAAGTAATAGATTCCAATGACCAAAGTCAGGGAATATGTCGTTAGATAAAGACAACAAGATGAATGAAATATCCCGTTTTATAAATATAGTGAGATTAGATTCAGCGGGAGATGCTTGATGAGAAGTCCGACTAGCACTGCTCTCATCTGGATAGATGGGCTGCAGCGCTTGCCCGAGAGTGTCTGTGTGGTCACGTGATGTGCGTTTTCAGCGTTTTGGTGTGGACGGAGAGCAGTTCAGAAACGCTGGGTAAAACGCGAGTGTGGACGCGGATCGTTTTCATTCTAAAAGGCCGTTTTAAAACTAAAACGCACTAGTGTAAACGGGGCCTCAGTCTGCTGGTTTTTGTCCGGGTCAGCCTAAAGCGCCTGCCGGAATGCAGTAGAGAGCAGGGTGAGAGGTGTCCTTAAGAATACTGCGTGCTTGGCGCAGACAGTGTTTCCACTGGATGTCCTCTATGGCTGGCAGTGTGGTCCCTGTGATGCGTTGGGCAGTTTTCACCACCCGCAGCAGTGCCTTACGCTTAGCAACAGAGCAGCTTCCATACCAGACAGTGACGCAGTTGGTATCCTGACAGCTTTCTATTATCAGGGCTTAAAGTATTCCGGCACCATGCCAGATCTCCGGCGTGCGGCCGTGAGAGAAAAAAATATATATTTTAGAGCTTGTGCATGCGGTTTAATTGGGGATGCTTAAAATAACTGATTAACTGTTAACCGAAAGGGTGGCGTTTGTAACCGATTAATGGTATCAGTTAAACGATTCTAAAATATACTTTATATATTTTTAAAGTTTGGCTGCATAAGGGGGATCTGTTTAATGGTTTACTGACGGCCGTCAGTGTTTTACGCTCCGCTTATGCTCGCTCTGCACGCCTCAAGTTTTGCCGTTGCGCGCTGTGTGCTCGAGCAGAAAAAGCGTGTTACCTCAGTCGTGTCTTTTTCATTCTTCAGTCAAATGAAAGCACTGCAGGGTTTCTGTTGAGGTGACAGCAGGGTTTGGGTTGTCAAGCCGACTATGGCAAACTTTTAATGATGGAGGAGTGACTTGTGGTTGCTGTTTCAAGTTATCCAGAGCTATATTACTTTTCAAATCTTGAATATCACAATATTATTAAAATTACAATTATAACATCGACAGCAACTCGACTCGCGCACACCAGCTGATTCAGTCGTTTTCTAGTGACATACAAAAGAGCACCGGGCTACTTTTTTTCTTGTCAACATAAAAGGCAACGCGTTTTTGGAACGGAAAGGCGTGCTCTTTGTGATCGGCCCCTAAATGTACGACAAATATTTGTTAACTCTCGGGGTGGTAACAAATGCAAACACACGTTTCTACAGACGTATTTTACCAAAGAAGCAAAATGAAAGAAGGATATTTCTGGTCACAGTTTCACACAGATGAATTTACATTAACCAGCACTGATGCTGATCACCTCTGTGCTGTCTGGAGCCGCTTCATAAACTTTATTTAGGGTGGGCTACAACCAACAAACCAACCTTTTTTATTTGAAGAATAAGTACAGTTATTAATAGTTCTTATATAATATCAGCTTTTGAAATAGCCTACAATTTACGAATCAAACAAATACAAAGGTTTTCTTGATTTGTTTGTCTAATGATAACTCAGCACCAAACTGAGGCTTTCATTTTATAGCTTATAAAACATGCAAATGTATGCAATATCATAAGGGCTGTGACGGTCACCGTGACAACCGCGTTACCGGTTGACAGATAATGCAGCAGTAGAAGTTCACCAAGACGGCTGATAAAAGCTGGTTCTTCTTAAGTTGCCTTAAGAAAAATAGGCGCTGGTGAGCCTTCTTGACCAGGCTGGAGGTGTTGGTGGTCCAGGAAAAGTCCTTTGAGATGTGGGTCCCCAGGAACTTGAAGGATGAGACAGGCTCAACGGCCATCCCATCGATGTGGATGGGATCATGTAAGCCTGTTAGTCCCTTCCTGTAGTCCACAATGAGCTCCTTGGTGTTGTTGATGTTGAGGAGCAGATTGTTGTCTGTGCACCACCTCTATTAGCCTTCTTACTGTGATTTCTTGGCCAATATTGTGACATCTTTCAGCCCTCGTGTGCTGTTGGGTTGTTTTCATCCACTCTGGGGGGATTTTGAGTCTTAATTTGGCCACAACCTTCTCTGTGTTTCAGCAGATGTAATGATCTTTTGCTGACAAATCTTATTTTGACAAACTTTTTGGGAAAATGCTTAGAATTTTTTCAAAAAATCTATACAATCTGGACAAATTCACTACTCTTTGGTTATGTTGGTGGCTGTTTTTGTCCCATTGGCTTCTATTATAATGACATTTTTTTAATTGCAAAGCTGTGACACCTTTTAATCATGCATACTTGATTGTTGGTGGTTTTCCACGTTGGGAAGAGGTCAAATTTGCCATTGTTAAGATTGTATAATTTAATATGGATATCTGTAGTCGGATACTTTACTCCTGCATGTCAGATGAACATCATGCTATTGCGTATTCATGGTTGAACAATTATAGTAGATGATAACAAGATATTATCACATATGCAATTAATGCTTCATCCCTAATGAAAACAGAGCTGTCCTGTAATTGTAGATATAGGCTGTGGACGCTGAGACTTTTAAATATGTTGATGTGCCGGTGGATGAAAGCTATCATAAGCATGTAAATGCTAGTTAGCGTTAATGGTAGCTTTGCTAGCGTGACGTCTGCTGGTGGAAAACAGTTTGTCACCACAGAGATCACAATGAGGGGCTTGTGCTTCACGAACATCCCATGAGCTTGATGTTTCGCTCCTAATGTTACGCTCGGGGAGATATAATTATAATACAGTCGTAATTGATGAATCTGGGCTGCTTGAAAGCCAGGAATTAGCGCTGAGGCTGTAATCATACCATAGCTTTGTTTGGAAAACACAGAGTGCACTTTGGAGGATTGTTGGCGCTTTTGGAAAGTAAAGATTTTACTCTTAAATCAGTGTTTGTTTTTAAGTGCGCAGTAGAGCGGCGTAATAAAGAGGGATTCTTATGAAATCAGAAAATGTTTGGATCATATTTCAGCTCAAATGAAAGATTGTTCTTCTCAAATGAATGATTGAAAGATTCAATCATTATATTGTTCAAACCACAGAATATTTGAAAAGCAGACCATGAATAATGATGAAAATAATATTTACATTTGCTATAAATGTATTAATGATAAATAATAAAATATGTATATTTGATATATAAGTGCCACGCAGCAAGAAGGTCACCTGTTCGAGCCATGTGATTAGCTGATTAGAAATTTGCGTTAACGAGCACTTGGGCAGGTGTACCTAATAAAGTGGCCGGTGAGTGTGTATGTATGTATTGATGTATGTATGTATATATATATATATATATATATATATATATATATATATATATATATATATATATATATATATATATATATATATATATATATATATATATATATATATATATATATATATATATATATATATATATATATATATATATATATATATATATATATATATGTGTGTGTGTGTGTGTGTGTGTGTGTGTGTGTGTGTGTGTGTATATATCTATATATATGTATATGTATGTATATATGTATGTATATATATATATATACACACACACACACACACACACAAGTCTTTTATCTGTTTTGTAATGTGTCGTGAAAAGGTTTAAAAATATTTATTAACAATATTTATGGAGAATAATGCAATCATGTAATGCAGTGTAATTGTGTAATCCTTTGTAAATTACTGTACTCTAGTTATGATCACTGTATTCAAATATTAATTATTACATGTTTGCAATCAAATTATTTTATACAGATAACCCGTAAACAATTTCTAGCCAGCACTCCCTGGATGTTTCTTTATGGGGTTCAACCAAGTTCAAGAGTCTCGGTTCATTTTCAAAATATAAGGCTGCAAATCCTCCTATTCATGTGAGAGTGTCTGGGATTTTTGTGCCACGCAGCCGGCTGAGGCAATCACGGGCATCGCTCAGAATGACTCCATAAAGTCAGTGAAGTTAAAGGAGATTTATTGAGTGGCTGTGCATCAAGGTCTGTATGGGACAGAGCGACTGAACGCCTTGATGGACTGCATGATTGATGGAAGAACATGTGACCTCGCAGATTTCTCTGATACTGTAGCCGCAGCCGCAGCCGTTCTCTCTTTATTTACTTGTTACTTTAATCACATCTAATTCCTGATGCTGTAAATCTAATTGATTGTGTTCGGACAAGCCACAAAGGGCACAGTTTTGCATTTCATGAAGTATAGTTTAGATTTATTAATTGTTATTTCTGGTTATTTGAGTTCTTTATGACATACACATTATAATGTTTGGTAAAGGTGTAACAAATCGACAATTTGGCATGAACTTTGGTTTGGTTTGGTCATTTTTCGTAGGAAAAAAAAACCAAACACTACTTTTTAAAATTAAACAGTGGTTTACTGAACAAAATTGTGACTTTGTCTGCAAATAAATTCAGTAATAATCACATTAAGAAAACATTTATGAAGATAGACTTTGAATGTAAGATATTATACCATGTTTCTGACATGATTTACCACACGTTTTCTGTCATAATAGCGTTTTTAGGCTTGATTTAACACACTGCTAGCATTTTCTAGCACAATGTTGAATGTTTATAGCATGATCTAGCTCATTTATAGCATGTTTAACATCGTTAGCATGTTTTTAGCATCATTTGCTACACTAATAGCATGTTTAAAGTACACTGTTAGCATTTTTCTGGCTTGATTTAACATGTTTCTAGCACCCCGTTGGATGTTTGTAGCATGGTTATGTTCACTAGTTGCATGTTTCAATTTTTTAGGCTTGGTTTAACACACTGCTAGCATGTTTTGCAATGTTGAATGTTTATAGCATGATTTAGCTCACTTACAGCATGTTTAGCACGATTTGCATGTTTTAGCATGATTTGCTACACTAATAGCATGTTTACAGCATGCAGTTACCACACTGTTTACCAGGGCCGGAGTGGGACTCCTTTTTAGCTCGGAGTTTCAAGCATTAGACCGGCCCACCTCAGTCGACGACTGACTATATTAAAATAACGTCATTTCCAATTCAGTTTAAAATGACACTAACATGTCTTTTTCAAGGACACAGCTGCTTTAGAACTTCAAATGTTTTTCATAAATATGAGAACATTAGTTCTTTATAGATATCCGGTCCTTTGTAACGGTCGTCACCATAAAAAAAAGTACCCCTACATAAGTAACCCAAACAGTATTTTATGTCTTAACACTGAAAATAAAAATATATATATTATATTCTGGTGAGGTTCGAACTCGGATTGGCGGCATCCTAACGTAACACGCTAACCACTAGACCACTTCTCCCCTTTTTAGATTTCTGATCAAGTTCTGTCAGATTTATTAATGTAGTGAATCATCAGATTTTCATTGAGCAGGTGTAATATTTATTAATATTAACTAATATCCCTGCTAAAAAATCCAGCTTAAACCAGCCTAGGCTGGTTGGCTGGTTTTAGCTGGTCGACCAGGCTGGTTTTAGAGGGGTTTTGGCCACTTCCAGGCTGGTTTCCAGCCATTTCCAGCCTGGTCTTAGCTGGTCAGGCTGAGAGATGACCAGCTAAAACCAGCTTGACCAGCCTAGCAGGCTGGGAGCCCAGCCAAAACCAGCTATGTCCAGCTTAAACCAGGCTGGTCAAGCTGGTTTTAGCTGGATTTAGCTGGTAATTTCCCAGCCTGACCAGCTAAGACCAGGCTGGAAATGGGCTGGAAACCAGCCTGGAAGTGGCCAAAACCCCTCTAAAACCAGCCTGGTCGACCAGCTAAAACCAGCCAACCAGCCT